CATCATACACCACTCATCATACACCACTCATCATACACCACTCATCACAGACCAGCTCTGGTTTCAACAGCTCAAGCTCCAGGCAACTCCAGCTCCAGGTGCAGATTTCGTGGCAGGTGCAGCACTTTGTGAACCTCCCTGTGCAGATTTCGTGGCAGGTGCAGCACTTTGTGAACCTCCATGTGCAGATGTCGTGGTAGGTGCAGCAATTTGTGAACCTCCATGTGCAGATTTCGTGGCAGGTGCAGCACTTTGTGAACCTCCACGTGCAGATTTCGTGGCAGGCACAGCACTTTGTGCACCTCCATGTGCAGATTTCGTGGCAGGCGCAAGACAAAATGCGTTGCGGAGAGATAGCGAACGCACGAAATGCTGTATTTTTCAATGGAACCGGTGGCTCCGAAGCTGGCAAGTCAAGGTCTGCGGAACGACGGGTGCGAGACGGTCTCGGGTCATGCTCGGATCATTCTCGGAATCGTCCGTCCATTGGGATTAGAGTTTTCACTTGTTTCTTGAAGTGAAGATTTCGTGGCAGGTGCAGCACTTTGTGAACCTCCATGTGCAGATGTCGTGGCAGGTGCAGCACTTTTTGTACCTCCATGTGCAGATTTCGTGGCAGGTGCAGCACTTTGTGAACCTCCATGCGCAGATGTCGTGGTAGGTGCAGCACTTTGTGAACCTCCAGGTGCAGATTTCCTGGCAGGCACAGCACTTTGTGAACCTCCATGTGCAGATTTCGTGGCAGGTGCAGCACTTTGTGTACCTCCATGTGCAGATTTCCTGGCAGGCACAGCACTTTGGGAACCTCCATGTGTAGATGTCGTGGCAGGTGCAGCATTTTGTGAACCTCCCTGTGCAGATTTCGTGGCAGGCACAGCACTTTGTGCACCTCCATGTGCAGATTTCGTGGCAAGTGCAGCACTTTGTGAACCTCCACGTGCAGATTTCGTGGCAGGCACAGCACTTTGTGAACCTCCATGTGCAGATTTCGTGGCAGGCGCAGCACTTTGTGAACCTCCATGTGCAAATTTCGTGGCAAGTGCAGCACTTTGTGAACCTCCATGTGTAGATTTCTTCGCAGGCACAACACTTTGTGAACCTCCATGTGCAGATTTCGTGGCAGGCGCAGCACTTTGTGAACCTCCATGTGCAAATTTCGTGGCAGGCACAGCACTTTGTGCACCTCCATGTGTAGATTTCTGCGCAGGCACAGCACTTTGTGAACCTCCATGTGCAGATTTCGTGGCAGGCACAGCACTTTGTGAACCTCCATGTGCAGATTTCGTGGCAGGCACAGCATCGGGGAGCTGGAAGCTGAGAACTGGCGACTTTGTAGTACAACTGTAGTAACACTGTAGTACGCGGAGTATGTGGCGAGCTGGAAGCTGAGAAGTGGCGACTTGGTAGTACAAACGTAGTACGCGGAGCATCTGTGGAGCTGGAAGCTGAGAACTGGCGACTATGTAGTACAACTTTAGTATGCGGATGAGGCATCTCTCGCTGCTGAGTCATCTCTCGCTCCTGAGTCCTGTCACACTGCTGAGTCATGTCTCACTGCAGAGTCATGTCTCGCTGCTGAGTACAACTTTAGTACGCGGAGTATCTGTGGAGCTGGAAGCTGAGAACTGGCGACTTTCTAGTACAACTTTAGTGCGCGGAGCAATCTGTAGAGCTGGAAGCTGAGAACTGGCGACTTTCTAGTACAACTGTAGTACGCGGAGCAATCTGTAGAGCTGGAAGCTGAGAACGGGCGACTGTGTAGTACAACTTTAGTACGCGGAGCAATCTGTAGAGCTGGAAGCTGAGAACTGGCGACTTTCTAGTACAACTTTAGTACGCGGAGCAATCTGTAGAGCTGGAAGCTGAGA